AGAACTGTTGATCAGGTCTTATTCAATACCTGGCAACGTTGAGAACATCAACAATTATCTGATCTTTATGATGGGTTGTTTATCACTTACAATTCTTTAAAACTTGCATATCAATTGCAATCCTTTAAAACCTGCATAACACCATGGATACATCACTCCAGTGTGAAGAAAGGCCCAGAAGTCAATGATCCAGAGATCAAAACCCATTGGTCTTATGAACCTGTACAAGACTTGAGGAGTATTTAGGAAGGAAAAAACTGAAAGTGTCATGTTTTTCTTTCAGCTGTTGCTGCAGGATTCCCCAGGATTAACCTCCCATTGACAACTGGAAATCCAGATGATGAATGAGGCCATGAGTCTAACATGACAATTGCTCTAAATATTTCTCTCTACCTAAAGTCTAACCTTTATAGACTATCATCTGGAAACATATGATTTCTACAGACAACACTCTATGGTATTTAGTGTTTGATGTCTATTCCATGAAAAGAATCTGACCTTAGCTTTGGATTTTTAACTTTTGACTTTTGGAAGGCTCTTTGTCTGGGCCTATGTAGTATAACCACAGCTACAAAAAGATACGCCATGTTGTTAAATGAAAAGTAAGAGTGTTATCTATATAAGTTTATGCCTCTGTATCTTCCCCTTTGTGTCTAATTTTCCTGACCTCTAAAGGATATGAAATTGGTGTAAATGGTACCTATACACATTTTGAGCTCAGAAATAATGGAAACTGTACTTCCAGGAAGAAAGATCTGGGATAATTTTGGTTAATGGGCACTAATATGAAATTTAATGGGTTGTTTTGAAACACATGCCTTTAAAGTGGTATTGAACAAATTTTTTCAACTCTTCTATCTGGGTTACTGATGTTGGGTACATTTAATGTCAGTGGAGTTTTTATTTTGAAAGTTATTTCCAGATGTAGGATCAAAATAGAAGTTTTTGGTTTGGTTATTAGCATTGTACTGGTGAGCTGAGTTGGAGCTTTTGATTGCAATTAAGTGAGGTTTTGTTCTAACACTTATGACAAAACTTCCCAGAAATCTAAATTGGAAAAAATTCATAGTATTTTATTACTGACTGATAAGAAGAAATTTTACAGAACATTAGCAGAGTTCCTACGACACTCCATAAAACTCTCCATAAAACTCTCTTTCCTTAGGGATGAATCACCTATTTGGTACTTATCTGATAAACTGGACCTTGAAGAAAAAAACGTCTCTTAGGAAAATGTTAAATCTTGTCATGTATATAAATATTAATGGTGGTGTTCTAAAATTCATATGAAACCATTTAAGTGATAGATAAACTACCTGTCAATTTTGACTTCTGTTGTTCTGAAATATTTTAAGGCATAATGTCAAACAAATTTTTTATCTATTGTTATAGGATTTTTAATTTTGGTTACTTCAAAGTAGTAATCAAAATTAATAGTAGTTCAATAAATACTCTTGTACGTGGCAATGTGTCCAACCTTGCATACTTTGAATAGAGATTTTTACTGTCTCTCCATATGACAGAGAATTGAAACATGGTTCATTACCAAAGTTGTGACAGAATTATCTTTTGTAATTGAAATTGAATAAAGCCAAGAACACAGAGCCTGCCACATTGCTTGTAGGGTTCCAGAGACTTTTCTCTATTGACAGGCCTTGATACCTAGAGAAAAGTCCTAAGAACCTCAAAAAGAGGAAACTGACAGGAAGATACAGATGTTGCTGGTGCAGTGTGGTGAGCAGTCTGGGGAGACTCAATCATTCACGTTCTAGTCCCAAAAGTGCACACACGCCAAAAAGTTGTGAGGTCAATCTAAGATCCCTTACAGGAAATCCCAACAAAGCCAACAAAATCACTATTTGGTTATTATGACCTGAGCATTTCTCAAAAATTACAAATGGATCAATTTAGTTTTAGTTTACAAAAGCATTTTGCTACCCTATTAAACAGAATTGGGATGATGGTAGAGAGAAAATGTCTTGATTTTGTTCGTTCTGATACACTGTTTTGTTATCTGTCCAGGCAAATGTCTCTAGCTTTTTCCTCTGTCTAAACTGATTGTTTTCTTAAGTGGAAGACTTTGTCACACTGGCTATTCATGGACAATGCCCTGTGACTGTTATTTCCTTTGAATATACTGAATAAACAGAAAAGGTTTGTTTTCTGAGGACATATCCCAACATCCATAGATTTGACTGCCATCACCAATAAAAATGGTGATAAAACAGAGGGAAAGGAACTGCTGGAATAAGCAGCAAACATTGCATCTGTTAATGATGTTCTAAATTAACTCTACCCCAAAACACTTTATGGACTCCACCCCTACCATGATGAACAGATCCCAGGTGCTGAGAATTACAACTCCCAACAAGTCATGAATCTGACCTCCTAAAAGGGGGCTCACTGGGAACCCAAGCATGCAATCATGCCTGGCTTTATAACTGAACACATACGGCTCAGGCTGTTGTTGCTTTTTTGGTTTTTGACTGTCACCCTGGTGCCTCAGTTCAAACACCATTACTGGCAGGACACATCAACCAATTAATCTTCTCTCTCTTTCTCTCACTCTTTATTTTCCCTCTTCTCATTCCCATTGTAAATAAACCTGTTTTCTTTTCATTTTGTTTTCTGTGTGCCTTCTCTTTGATTTTGTCAGAATTCACATCCAGGTGACCCTATTTTCCCAGGCTGCTCTGTAACAAATGTACTTAATGCCATTCAACAGTACACTTAAAAATGGTTAATTCTGTATTATGTATATTTTGATGGAATTTAAAATAGCTATATTATTTTTAACGTATCTTTCCTACTTATAGTACTTAGACAAGCTTTATTTTCCTGACTAAAAACTCAGTTACCACCTCTGAAAAAATGCTTATCTTCAGTATAAATACACATGTATTCAACTCATTGAAGATTATCCCTAAAATATTATTCTGAAAAGGGATATGTAATAGCAATTAGTGAAATTCTGAATTTATTACAGAAAGATCAATCGTAATAGGGTGCTCCATATTATTTAGAAATTCAAGGATAATATCTTAAGATAATCAAGAAGGAACTCATTCCAATCTATATATATCATGGGTAAACACCCTGCAAATTTTTTCTCAACTATCTTGGAGTTAATCTACTTAGGTCTATTTCCCTTTTACAGACTAAGATATTCTGTATGACTGAAATCAAGGTTTTAATGCTATAGCTTGTATCCTCATCTATGTATCTACTACTTTGGAAGCTACATGTGCAGTTGATACCCCTCTATACCACCACCAAAAACTGTAACTAAATGGAATTAAATATTAAGCATCTACTGTTTTTCTTTTCACTACCTCCTCTCCAAGTGATAATCTTTAAAAATTTTTAGCCTGGACAGGGGTGGTTGTTACAAAGTGGAAAGGATCTAGCTACACATGTAGAAATGAAGGAGAGGGCAAAGAAACGAAGGCTATAAGGCTTAAATGATCTTTATAAATCTAATGGAGAGAAGAAGCAGGCCAACATAGGAAAGTAGAAATAACAGAAAAGGAATAAGCAGTAGAAGAACATATAAGGAAAAAAAGGAGGTCAATAAAATTGTTAAAGAGATACTAAATTTTTTTGCCTTAAAATGTAAAATTCATTAAAAGATTTTAGTATACACTGGAGATTTAACATATTATGATGATATCGTGATTCACACCAACAGTATTTTGTCACTGTTTCTAGTACTGATTTTCTAAAACCCTTGGAATTTCTTGAGTGGTGACCATTCAGACATGGTATTGTTATGCTAATGATGTGGCTTTTGGAATGTCCCTAAGATCTCATAATTATGGAGGCTGGTTACAAGGGAAATTAACCCTAAGGTTCTAGGGTTGAAGGCTAAATGGCTTCAGCCATTTAAAAAGCACTTAAAAGCCCCAAGCAGGACATATAATGGTTTCTTCATACATATCCCAAATTGGATTCTTTTGCAGAGACCCAGGTGCATGAATACATGGTGATATGGGAAACAGTGGTGCATAGAAGAGGGGATGGAAGTTCCTTTTCCCATTCTTTTTTTTTTTTTAATTAGTTTATTTATGCATATAGAACTGGGGTACAAGGCCAGAGGTACAGGGCAGGTGAGAGGAATCATCAGAGACAGAGCGGAGTGCAGAACAGGCAGACTGAATAAGTACTGAGGGGAGCAGCGGGTGAGACAGGAGAGTTCTGCTGAGCCATATGGATCACCTTCGGGGTAGGGTACTGAACCCTCATCAAAGGGGCTAAGGCTGCGTGCAGTGAGTGCTGTGCTTAACTCGAAGGGCAACCAGGGAGGGCCCTTCCAGTTCTTCACCCTATGCATCTATGACCTATTACTATTCCCCAGTTATATCCTTTTAATTGGTAATCTAATACGTTAAACTCCAAAAGTTTTGTGAGTCACTCTAACAAATTAATCAAACCTAAAGGGCACATGAAAATATCTCATTTTCAAGCAATGGATCCAGATTATCTGACTTCTGACTGACCTATGAAGTGTGTGTGTTGGAAGAGTGAAGGTGGGGGTAGTCGTGTAGCACTGATAGAATCTGAAACCAACTCTAGGTAGTGTCAGAATTGAGACTATTGTCAGACTCCCAGCTGGTATCTCAAGTATTACTTGCTGGTGTGGGAAAGGGGAAAATTCTCCTACATTGGATCTGTGTTTCGAAACTCAAAAGAAATATAATTAGAACACAGAGGTAACTAAATATTTCAGGAAAAAGTCCATTTTATGGTATATCTAAAGAAATTGGTTATAAAATGGCAGCAAATTCAAGACACCGCCATGTGGCATGAATCCAGAAAACATTATAAAAAAGATGCAGTATATTCATTTTCCTTAGTTCCAAAAAAAGATACAGATTGCTGTACTTACTTTATTTTTGGAATAATCAGTAATCATAAAAGACTATTATGAATTTCAGTCAATATTTGCATCTCTGCCGTGGAAGGAATTACATTAGGATGGAGGTGGGGAATTTAAATAGTACCTTTTGCATCATCAGAACCCGAAGCCAAGAGTTTGGGATCCATCAAATTAAAATCAACACTCCAACACCTCTTTTCATGCTCCTGAGTAGAAGGAAGACAAAGAATCTCAGAAGGAATAAATAATATGTAGTAAGTCTTAAAATAAAACAAAAAGACCTTGACACAAATTTATTGCTGTAGTAGGAGGGAGTGAACAGGTTATGAAAATTAATGAGATGCAAAGTAGCTTTAAAATATTTTATATATAAATATATTAAAATTATTGCTTTTGAAAATTTATTTGATACACTCTACATATGGCAATGTCTGAAGAGATGCTTCAGAAAAGTATTATTTGGTCTAACATAGTATTAAAAGTGTCAAATTATACTATAATTATAATGCAAATGAAGCTCTATAAACTGTTCAGAAAGTAAAAACATGATTTTTAAAACAACTTGTATTCTTATTTACCTGATAGACCTTGGACCTCTGTCCTGTGAAACCATCCCACAGGATGACAGTGCCTTCATAATCACTGCTGGCTAACAGGTTCTTATGGTAACTACTCCAACTGATACAGCTGTAAAGATATATAGTTAAGCCTCACTTTACATAAAAACATCATGAATATAAAATTATTTACATAATCAGAAAGATTATAACCCTCTAAAAATGGACTACATTACTACAATCGCTATTCTGTATAAAAAATATCTAAGAAGAAACTTATCAAGTAATTCCCAGAATATGTCAAATAGTTCTCATAATCTTTTAATCAAACTATTAAATAAACCATATTACTTTAACTACAATCGTTACTTTTAAGATGGATATGAATTTAAAGTTCTCCCTGGTCATCTGTGATACCTGAGGAAAACATGACTATGAGTAAAGATAACAGAGACTGAGAGGAAAAGTCACAGCAGAATGACAGAGATCAGACCACACTGTTTAAGCCCCTATATCCAGGTGTGTCAAGTTATCTTGTTGTGCCTGGTTTCAAGTTTCCCAAAGACCACCAAGGAGCAAAATCTGATACAAAGTACAGGAGGATCTTTATTATAAGCTCGAGCCTGGGCTCCCAACATGCACTGACACAGCAGCCGAAGTTGAAAGCCCTGAACTGAGGGTAGGCAGGGTTTTTATTACAGAAGAGGGGAATTTCAGCTCAGCAGAGGGGAATTTTAGCTCAGGAGTATATTGCCGGTTGACATTGAACAAAGTTATCTTGTCTTAACCCGGGTGGTCTATGTATGTAAGATGTGACCTTTGCTAGTAGACCCAATTACCTTAGGACACCTGATGTTTTTCTGATAGGTACTGGTTACTTGCTAATTGGCTACTGCTAAGGGATGGGTGAGATTAGGACATTTACAGTTAAACTTGGCCTTGGCGCCTTGTTGACAACCAAAACTTAGGTCTGGCTGGTTCAGAAGCATTCTGAAGCCTGTCATGCATCAGTTTGGTCTTTCAATCTAAACTAATAAACTAGTTTAAATTTAATTCTATATTTACATCTAAACTATCAATATTATTAATACAATAGAAGTTTATGATGAAATTTCAAATAAAAAGTATTTAACAATTACAAATAAACTTAACATTTGTGACTTCAGATATTCCCAAATGCTCCAAAATCAAGACATCTGAAATTGTACATTTTGTACTCATATACCAAATTGGTTGCAAGGCAAGCTTACATACTGATTCTTTCAGCTCAAAGCCCAGTTTCCAGTCTTGAAAAGCTTCTTCCACTTACCACAAGGTAGCATAAAATACCGCCATAGTTTCACTTGTGTCAAGACAGAAAAAGTAAACCTCTAATCCACATTTTCATTACATTAAGGTTTATAACAAATTTGTGATATGGGCCAAATATTCTGCTACATATATTACAAAGACTTAAAGTATAATCCTATGAAATAGGTATTATTATTACAGCCTTCATTTGTAAATGAGTAGCATGAAGTGCCTGAGAGCACCAATAATGCAACCGAGTACCTTTGTTTGAACCCTGGCTCTTCCACAGGCTGTGTAATCTGAAGCATGTGAACTTTTCTGTGCTTCAGCTTTAATTGCATATAAAATGGGGCAATATAGTATGTACCTCACAGATTCATCTTCTTAAGACGAAGCACTTAAGGCAATGCCTAACACATAAGATTCCAATAAAGTTATCTCACATTATATTCTTTCAATTTAGGACAAAAAGTATTAACAGGTATTCAATGATGATCACCACAGAAGAATGAACAGGTTACTTCTTCTTTAGATTCCACTGTTTTTACAAATAAATTAGCAAAAAGGAAAGCTAACCCAAATTAGGTGAATATGTTCATTATTAACATTATTAAAATAAGCATATACACACACATACTGTATGTAACATTTAGCATTCTATATCTATAATGTAGTAGGATTGCTTGGAAAATGTTTTAAAAATTTAACATTTTCTCTAAAAGAGATTATTATTGGATGATTTCCTTATATCGTTCACTTTGAAGGCAGTGCTCATGAAAATTGCTTAGGAAGGTTATTTAAAAACAAAGTTTTTAGGATTCCTCTAAAATTTCTGAGGGGCAAATTAAAAGTGGGGCCCTGTTACTTCATTTTTAACAGCATTACAGGTTTGAACTTTTTTTAAACACATGAAACTTAAATATTATAGTTTCAATGAAAAAAACCAGAATGTTACCGTAAAAAAAAAAATCTTAAAACTCTAAACAATTATAGCAGAATACTATACATGTGTCTACTAGGGGGAAAACTCCTTACTTTTGAACATCATTCACAGGCTACAGTAATCTTTTGCCCAACACCCAAAAAACAATTTTTTAAAAAGCTAAAAAGAAGATTTTTGAGTAAGTGACTAGAGACTTTCACCTGGCAAAGAGAAAAAGCAATAACTACTAATCCCAACAGGAGAAAAGCACCAATGTCTTTTAAAAAGATATGCTAATGTACCCCCTATGCAATTATAATGCTTTCTGTGAATAGTAAGGAGTCTCATGAAAAGGTAAAATAAGAAATTCATATTAATTGTTATATATATACTGCCTTATGCAAAAACAGTTAAAATAATGTAAGTACCTGATTTTGGAATTGCAGGTCATTTCATTCTCAGGGTAATGAATATCCACTGCATCCTGAATGACTGTGCCATATTCATAGACTTTAATTTTTTTTGTAACGCCAGCAATTGCAAAATAGTCACAATCCCGGTCAAACTCAATGCTGAGGGAAAAAGGTATTTAATCAATAAGATTCTGTAACTATTCTTTTGACATTTACAGTAATAAAATGTCCAATTTTTCCTACTTCTAAAATAATTTCATCTACAAGGATAGAGAGCTATTTAAAATATCCTCAAATCATAATAGACCACAGATTAAGTCATCATCACATATCAAGTGGAAGAGAATTGTGCCCTGCCACACAATTCTGCTCATAAATGTTATTTTTATTCCTAGACATTTGACATGTTTTCCAATTCAGCGTTAGTAATCATATCACAACTTAACTGCCAAGGTTAACAAATTACACTGTAAAAGTAGTGGGGAAAGATTTAGTGGTTTGTTATATTAAAAATGTCAAAAAAAATTACCAATTAATTTTTTCATAAATTCTAGCTATTTCCCTTCCTTCCATTTTGTGAAGATGATAGAACTTCTCAGTACTTAGTGCTATTTCCAGAAATAAATTGGTATACAAGCTGAATTACTGAAGCAATTAAGGAAGGGCTAATGACAAAGGAGTAAAATACACACAAAAACAGAATCAATAAATTATCATTACATGTTTCTCAAATCTATTTCTAATATCATAATATGATCTCTCATATTTATGAAACCACAATATAAAAGGATTACAGTTCCTTATGCTAAAAATAAGGGAAATTAAAAATCTTGCCTCTTTTAGAATTACATAAGTTACCCTTCTCTTACCAACTTTCTAATACAAATTCTAAAACAAGGTGCTTCAGACCAAACCATAAGACCCATGACTCTTATTTTTATAATGTAGTGTTTCAGCTGTTTTAATTATAAAATCCAACAATGAAACAAAATAATTAGTAAACCTAAAACCAAAAAAGGGGGGGGGGGACCAATTAATAGAAATATATCTACTTGTGTATTTTTTTTTTAAGTTTAAGAAGTACTGCTTATTACACAAAGTAAATTTCTGCTATCCATTACCATCAGTAGTTCTCTTTTTTTTT